CCTATGAGACGTTGAACTCTGTGGAGGAGTTACGATGCATTTATGAATTGCCTCCTTGTGTGGTTTTTCCTGTAATGGTACTAAGTGTGGTTGTGAATTACTTTGGTGTGGCATGCTTAGCGTTGGTAGTATATTTGTTATTGGCCTACTAATTGCTGTTGCTCGTTTTGCGACTGGTGGAATCGGTTGCTGGTTACTTCTCGGTTGGATATGATGATTCGATTTAATGCTTTGATTTTGGACTATACTTTCTTGCATCAGTTTTGGGTGACTGGATTCTAATTTGACGGGTAAAATGATTGGGTGGTTGTCGTCCCGCCTGGCGTGACAACCCCAAAGCGTTTCCCGATGGCCTCTGATGATTTCTGTATGTTGGGTTTTCCCTGCAGCACTCGATCGTTCGACGGCCTATAGTACCACAAATCCAGCAAAAAAGTCTCCTAGGCTTTGTGCATTCTCGTTCAAAATGATTTCTTTCCCCACATCTATGACAAACATTACGCACGTCCACCTTTTCGATCTGTGTTCTGTTAACGGCAATCGGTGGTGACCAATCAAGAGTGCATTGGCGTTCTCTACTACTTAGTTGTGTAAGTCGTTCGAATTCTTCTGCTAATTTGATTAATTCTCCCAAGGAGCTAAATTCACGTGGTTTGATCTGGAGCTGATACTCTGGTCTACTATTTCGGTAAATCCGACTTAACTGTTGTCCCCTTGTTAACTCAGCATATCGCATCAATTCTTGTAGTGCCAAGGCATAGTCTTGGAATGACTCAGTCTTCTTCTGGTATCTGTTCCGAATTGTATCTTCTAATTGCTCTAAATAATTAGAAGGCAAGAAAAACTCTCGAACATCCTGAACAAAACTTGACCAGTGTGTCCACTTCCGATTGTTATTCCGGAACCACATTAGAGCTCTTCCTTCCAGTATTTCTGGCATAAGTCTTGGCAGAATGTCTCGGGGAATGTTATAAGTTTCGGAGAGTGTTTCCAAATTTTCCAAAAATGGTAATGGATTTGTTTCACCATTAAAATGTACCTCCCATTTGCGCACTTGATTGGCGATTCGCGCTATGTCCTCAAATTTGCTATTCATCATGGTTGGCTCTGAGATGTGTATTTTCGGTGTTTCGATTTCGAAGCCTGGAGGTTTGGGTGAGAGACTGCGATCGTATTTAGTTTCCATTTCCATAATTATGTCTAGTAATTTTTCCGTGTTCTCCTCAGTTGCTAGATGATCACGTACACGCTTCCGTAGTTCCTCAACGGTTCCTGATGTACTGACCTTGATTTCTTCTAGAATTAGAACCAAATCCTCTTTACGCGCTATCGAAATCCATGCCGTCTTGACCATGTTACCTCGTGTACCGTCTAATGACTCTCTGCGTTAAACGTTTGTACACTTATTCGTCCTGTTCCTAGTTCGTTCTTTTCTAAAACAACGTCCCTGCTCGGGCGCCAATTGTAACGACACTTTTGGTGACGTTCAAAAATTTTTAGTTTTTGCTGGGGTATCCTCAGCCGTCGTCCAGAGTCGTGACAATATATTTATAATTTTGCCGAGACGTTGGTTTTAGAAGAAAACAGAACGTGATTTATATGTATAAATTATATATATAACTTTATTTATTTCATAAAAACTTATGATTAACAAAGTTTAATTAAAATTCATTGGAAACATTTCTAATAATAAATAAAAAAAAATTATGTTGATGCCAAAATTTCCCACTTCTCCATATACTACTTGTTAAAAGAATCTTAGCAAAACCCGTGTGACTTCTTAAGCCCCTCTTCTGTTGTTAAAAAAAAAATAAACAAAACGTTTCCTCCGTGCTGTAAAAAAACTATTTGACCGAATAAGCCAGGTTAAAAAAATACACATAAGACAGGAAAGGAATTTTACACTACGTTTGACTCAAAGAACCAGATTTGTGGCACAATGTGCCAGATGACCAATAGGCCAGTGTACTTGTTTCAGGAAAAGTAAAATTTCAAGTTTTGGTAAAATTTACCAGAAGGCCCAATGAGCCAGAGTACTTGCTCTTTCACTTGTCGCAAACCAAGTCCCCCATTATACGAAATGCGCCTCCTTTTATATCGAGCATACCGAAGCTTTTTGGTGTAGCGTACCGGTATTCTTTGCTGTACTTGACTTCGCCGTGAAGTTGAACTTTGTGTTCTACTGTTTTCCACTTCTTCTGCTTCGCCGTGATTTTTAGTACTTTTTTACAACGTGCCGTGTTTTGTGTGTGGTTCTTTTATTATTTAAATAATATATATAATAGTAATTTAATAATAATTAAAACGAGGTATAATATATATTTTGTGATTTTAATATTTTTACCAACTTAAATGTGAAAAGAAAAGAAATATTAAAAGAAATAAAATTGATGTTGGCGTGCTTAGTTTTTTTGTTGTGTTTTGTTTACGCATATAAAAATAAAATTGGACAACCAAAAGTGTTAAACTGTTTTGGGTTTTTCGTTTACGCATATAAAACTAAAATTGAACAACCACGAGTGTTAAATTGTTTTGTGTTTTGTTTTATTTATATATAATTGTAAAAAAAATAGACATTTGTTTAAAATTTAAACATGTTTTCGCCAATAATTGTTCATTGTTGTTGCGTTTACAAGTGTTCCATTCATAAAAGTTTTAACAAAAAGTTAATTTTTTTTTCCGTATATTTTTAGAATTTGCACATTGCATGTAGCGATGCCCGCGGTGCATTGGCATCGAGGATCACAGGTAATGTCCATGATATTTCGAATAAATATTTTAATTCAATTTTATATTTTCCAGTTAAGTCGCCTTCAGTTATTTTCAAGTGAGTTGTTAGATATATTATGTGTAGTGGTGGCGGTTATTTAACACACAGACTGTGTTTTTCTCTGCTTCTTGTTTTATGTAGCACAGAAATTTACTTTGTAAATTTGTGTCGTTACATTTCCCTCCTTCTTCAGAACAGAAATTAAACTAAAACTTTATTTTAATGACACGTTGATGACCCCTCTTCGGCTAATTTGCACTTGATATTTCTGATTTTCCATTTATCCCTTATTTTCCATATGATACATGCTAATACTTGTGTTACTAATATTCCTTTTAGAACGAGGCTCGATTTCTTTTCTAATCTTTGGACACTTGAAAATCTTTAAATACTCATCTTGGTTTTTGACCTGATGACGGTTATCCTTTCGTTTAAATGTACCTAGACGTTGTGTGAAAATCTCTGGCTTGTTTCCTTTTGTGCTTGGTTTAATGACGTTCAATTTCTCTTGTGGTGACCATGGTTCTTGTTGACTGTCATGCTTGACTGTACCCTTTGCTTGAGTTCCTTGGCTTGGTAGTTCCGTGTTAAGTTTACTATCTGAAACATTGATAACTAATGGACCTAATGAATTCGTAAGTTGTACATGACGATTATCCGATACTGGCTGTATTATAGTAGAATTCCTCTGTAGCGATGTAGTTGATGACGAAGATGATGGTTGACCAGATTGGTGATTATCTCTTGGTGGTGCTCCTCGTGGTGACTGTGGCTGATTAACCGAAGATGGCGGCTGCGGCTCAAGTTCTTTTGGTTGTAACGATGATTTGAAATTACCTTGCGAATGACTCTGTGACGTTTGCGATGATGATTTAAAATTACCTTGTGAATGCCCCTGTGGCGTTTGCGATGATGATTTAAAATTACCTTGTGAATGCCCCTGTGGCGTTTGCGATGATGATTTAAAATTACCTTGTGAATGCCCCTGCGGCTTTTGCGATGATGATTTAAAATTACCTTGTGAATGCCCCTGTGGTGTTTGCGATGATGATTTAAAATTACCTTGTGAATGCCCCTGTGGCTTTTGCGCTGATGATTCTGAACTTGTAGAAGTTGGTAGTACTGGATGATTGACATGTGATGACTCCGGTACTATCATTAAACGTTGTGGCAGTGCTGGACGTGATGATAAGTCATGCTCTTCGATTTGATGCTTTTGCTCTCGTGGTTGCGTATTCTGATTGTAGTTAACTAGCGACTGTTGTGCATATGCTTGTTGATAACCTACTTCTGGACTTTCCCTATGAGACGTTGAAATCTGTGGAGGAGTTACGATGTATTTATGAATTGCCTCCTTGTGTGGTTTTTCCTGTAATGGTACTAAGTGTGGTTGTGAATTACTTTGGTGTGGCATGTTTAGCGTTGGTAGTATATTTGTTATTGGCCTACTAATTGCTGTTGCTCGCTTTGCGACTGGTGGAACCGGTTGCTGGTTACTTCTCGGTTGGATATGATGATTCGATTTAATGCTTTGATTTTGGACTATACTTTCTTGCATCAGTTTTGGGTGACTGGATTCTAATTTGGCGGGTAAAGATGATTGGGTGGTGGTCGTTCCGCCTGGCGTGACAACCCCCAAAGCGTTTCCCGATGGCCTCTGATGATTTCTGTATGTTGGGTTTTCCCTGCAGCACTCGAACGTTCGACGACCTATAGTACCACAAATCCAACAAAAAAGTCTCCTAGGCTTTGTGCATTCTCGTGCAAAATGATTTCTTTCCCCACATCTACGACAAGCATTACGCACGTCCACCTTTTCGATCTGTGTTCTGTTAATGGCAATCGGTGGTGACCAATCAAGAGTGCATTGGCGTTCTCTACTACTTAGTTGTGTAAGACGTTCGAATTCTTCTGCTAGTTTGATTAATTCTCCCAAGGAGCTAAATTCACGCGGTTTGATCTGGAGCTGATACTCTGGTCTACTATTCCGGTAAATCCGACTTAACTGTTGTCTTTCTGTTAACTCAGCATATCGCATCAACTCTTGTAGTGCCAAGGCATAGTCTTGAAATGACTCCGTCTTCTTCTGGTATTTGTTCCGAATTGTATCTTCTAATTGCTCTAAATAATTAGAAGGCAAGAAAAACTCTCGAACATCCTGAACAAAACTTGACCAGTGTGTCCACTTCCGATTGTTATTCCGGAACCACATTAGAGCTTTTCCTTCCAGTATTTCTGGCATAAGTCTTGGCAGAATGTCTCGGGGAATGTTATAAGTTTCGGAGAGTGTTTCCAAATTTTCCAAAAATGGTAATGGACTTGTTTCACCATTAAAATGTACCTC